CGCTGGGGTAAGGAGGCCGAGGTGGACCCCGGGCCGCTCGACCCCGAGAACAAACTGCAGCTTGTTCCTCCAGCAGCTGCCGGCGAGCGCCGAGGTGCATGGCGGCGCCCGGGGCGGCCCGGAGCGCCGGCCGGTGCGAGTCGGTGATGCTCGGTGCCCGCCAGCTTAGGGCAGCTCCCAAAATGGTGCCCGCGAAGAGGTGCCCCTGAAGCTTGGAAACAAGTCACACATTGGGGGCCTAAACTCACTTTCATGCTCAAAAACGAGGAAACCTGGTAGCTTGCGTGCTCAGACTGCCCAGGCCCAGTCCCTCGGTGAATCCGTTAAGTGTAATCATGATGGCTCGCTCAATTCGTGTATGTTAAGTATCTGCAAACATATAGAGTTTGCAAATTCAAATATTAGTGAAAAAATTTCCATTTCGCTGGAAAAAACATTCTTTGAATATTAAATGGGTTATAATAATACAAAATTCAATTTTGTGATGCACACAGGAAGATTCCATGGTTCTATGTCCAAGAGCTTTGCAGGTGCTTAGGGATTGGTGGGACCAGAAATCATCTCCAACTGCCCCTGGGACAGCCAAGAAGCTCCATGGGCACCAGTGCACTTCCTGGTCCAACTAGACTGCCCACACCGCATTTGAAAGAAAAGGATTTGCTCAGTGCTCAGATTCTATCTCACTATCTGACCTTTTTTCAAGAATGTCATTCCACATTTTATTTACCACTTAGAAGCTTCAGTGTTGATTTAATGATCGAAGTTATTTTGCTTTATATACATGTGTGTGTCTGTGGGTTTCAACCTCAGCAACCACACACACAAACCAAAGCATACACACACATATGTATGTAATGTGTTCCAGTACCAGGGCTTGAACATAATGGCCTTGAATTCTACAGTTGGCTTTCTTGCTCATTGCTGGTGCTGCATCACTTGAGGCATATCTCCAGTCCACCATTTCTTGTATTTTTAATGTTGCTGTGACAGCCTTACTCTACAGAAACCAGTAAAAGAGTAGGTCACAGTCTTTACATTTGAGCACCATATAAGAAACTTTCATTCTCCCCCCTTTTTTTTTAAATTAGTCTTCCAAGAATACAGAGTGAAATAAACGACTGAATTTCAATTGCCAGAAATGAATTGCTCATCTATAATATGTGAGAGATCATTACAAGCTAGGCATGGTGATGCACACTTGTAATCCTAGACTCAGGAGGCTGGGCAGGATTGTGAGTTCAAGGTCAGCTAGAGCTACATAGTAAGAACTTATCTCCAAAAGAAAAATAACAATGAAAAGAGGTAAATATGAAGTTAGCAGGCTCAGGGGGCTGGGAAGGTGGCTCAGTGATAGAGTGCTGCCTTGTATTCATGAGGCCCTGGGTTCAATTCCTCAGTACCACATAAGCAGAAAAAAACCTGAAGTGGTACTGTGCCTCACGTGGTGGAGTGCTAGCCTTGAGCTGAAGAGCTGAGGGACAGCGCCCAGGCCCTGAATTCATGCTCCATGACCGACCAAAAAAAAAGGCTCATAAAGGACTATAGCTGTGTGTGTGTGTGTGTGTGTGTGTGTGTGATATTTGAAGTTGAAGCCAAGCAACAAGTCACGCAGTGGCCTCCATGAGTGCTTTTTCAGCACCATCTTTATCACAAGCTCTAGGAGTCTACTAGGACCGGCCAGTAACCGTACCAGTTATGCCTTTACTCTCTTAGAGAGACTTACCTAGTAAATAAAACATAAGTCTGGTGCCTTTGTCTCACACCTATAATCCTAGCTATTCAGAAGGCTCATGGTTCAAAGCAAGCCTTGGTAGGAAAGTCCTTGAGACTCTCATTTCCAGTTAACCACCAAAAAAGCTGAGAGTGGAGCTGTGGCCTAGGACTTCAATGCAATGATGGTGCCCAGGCCTTGAGTTCAAGCCCCAGTACTGGCAAACCAAAAAAAAAAAGAAGAAGAAATTACATATATAACAACAAACACTACTGGAAAAATAAGTGTGAGAGAGGCAAGAAAGAATAGTATGAGGTTTCCCAATTATACATAGCTTAAGAAATAAGGCAACATTTCTTGTTTATATGTACAGATACTGGGGCTTGAACTCAGGCCTTACACTCTAGCTTTTCTTCTCAAGGCTGGTGCTTTGAGATACACTTCCATTTCTGGCTTTTTGCTGGTTAATTGGAGATGAGAGTCTCATTTTCTTTACTGCCCAGGCTGGCTTCCAATCTCTATCCTTAGATCTCAGCTTCCAGAGTAACTAGGATTAGCCTCTGGCTCCAAGCCAGTCAACATTTCATTGTTATAAGAATGAGTAAAAGCGCCCAGCGCTGGTGGCTCAAGCCTGTAATCCTAGCTTCTCAGGAGACTGAGGTAGGAGGATCGAGGTTCAAAGCCAGCCTAGACGGGAAAGTTTGTGAGACTCTTATCTCCAATAAACCACTAGAAGACCAGAAGGGGTGTTGAGGTTCAAGCAGTAGAGCCGCTCGCCTTGAGCTGAAGAGCACAGGGACAGTGCCCAAGCCCAGAGTTCAAGCCCCATGATGGACCAAAAAGAAAGAACGAGTAAAAGGATGGTTTTAGAGCATAAGAGACAATGTTAGAAATCCAAGTGCCGACTTTTCTAGGGGCTGGGAAGGTGGCTCAGTGTTAGAGCCTTGCCTTGCATGCATGAGGCCCTGGGTTCGATTCCCCAGCACCACATAAACAAAAAAGAAAAAAACCGGAAGTGGTGCTGTGGCTCAAGTGGTAGAGTGCTAGGCTTGAGCTGAAGAGCTGAGGGACAGCGCCCAGGCCCAGAGTTCAGGCCCCATGACCGGACTCCCCCCCCCAAAAAAAAGAATCTTTTCTGCACTAGGCATTTGTGGCTCACACCTGGAATCCGAGCTACTCAGGAGGCTGAGATCTGGGGATCACAGGTCAAAGCCCAGACAGGAAAGTCTGTGAGACTCTCATCTCCAATAAATCACTCAGAAAACCAGAAGTGGTGCTGTGGCTCAAGTGGTAGAGCACTCACCTTGAGCTGAAGAGCTGAGGGACAGCGCCCAGGCTCAGAGTTCAAGCATCTCGACTGACAAAAACAACAACTTTCTGCACTTAAAATTTGTACAAGTTAGAGTCTTCTAGAATTGTTACCAACAACATAAATTGCAAAGTTTTGCTTTATAAGATATAATTGTTAATCTTGTTTCTCAGTTTGGTTGGATGGAGAAGTACCTAAGAGATTAGAACTAAAGAATGTCTCTGGGTGTGTCTAAACAGGTGTCTTCAGAAACTGTAGAGACTGGGATAGGAACTGAGAAGGCGGAGACCCACCCTGACTGTGGGAGGCAGCATCCAAAGGGCTGGGGGCCAGAATGAAAGAAATGGGAAAAGCACGCTATTCCTCCCTCTCTCCCTTCTTTCCCTTTCTCCCTCCCTCTCTACTTTCTCCCTTCCCCTCCCCTCTCTACCTCTCTCCTGGGCTGCCATGAATTAATTGGTAGCTCACTCACTATAGGTCCATAAACATGGAGCCCAGTTTGGGTTGAACGCCCTGAAACCATGACACCAAATGAATCTTAAATTGTGCTCAGGTAGAGCCGGGCATCAGTGGCTCACGCCTGTCATCCTAGCTACTCAGGAGGCTGAGATCTGAGGATCGCAGTTCAAAGCTAGCCCAGGCAGGAAAGTCCGTGAAACTCTTATCTCGGATAAACCAATAGAGAACCGAAAGTGGCTTTGTAGCTCAAGTGGTAGAGCACTAGCCTTGAGCTGAAGAGCTGAGGGACAGCGCCCCGGCCCAGAGTTCAGGCCCCACGACCGGACCCCCCCAAAAAAAAAGTCCTAAAGAAAAAGGTCAACTTTGTTAGTGGGGGGAGGAGGAATCATTTGCATCAGAACACCAGGAAAGGGTGGCTGAGGAGTTGGCCACACCCAGGTCACAAGGTCTGAGGGGGTGGGGGGAGGTGACAAAGTAAAGACTTCCTGAGGTGAGAGCATTTCTGGGGATTTCCCCATCCTTGGGGCCACCTGGGAAATTACCCAGGATTCCTTTCACCCTGTTCAACTGCCCAGGTGCTCAGTGGCTGCTGCCGCCTTGGCCATAGAGGCCGTGTGTGTGTGTGTGTGTGTGTGTGTGTGTGTGTGTGTGTGTGTGTGTGATTTGGTTTTTTTCTCAAGGCTAGTGCTCTATCACGTGTGTGTGTGTGTGTGTGTGTGTGTAGTTTGGGGTTTTTTTTTGTTTGTTTTGTTTTTTGCTCAAGGCTAGTGCTCTATCACTTGAGCCACAGCACCACTTTTGGCTTTTTGCTGATTAATTGGAGATAAAGCCTCC